GCTGCTGCTGCTGCTGGGGGGATTTTGGTGGCACTGCTCTGGGCAGCAGGGCAGGTGCAGGGATGTAAATGTGCTGGGTATCCCCTTACCCGGGGCCAGTGTCACTCTTGACTATTTGAATGTTGGTTCAGGTGGGGCTGTGCTGGGTGCCACAAACAGCAGAGATGTTTTTGTGTGGTGGAGAGTGTTGTGATTTTGAGAGTGATCCCTGTTTGATCAGTATCAGGCTTCAGGGTCTAGGTTCTTCTGTCCCTTCTTTGCCTATGATGATCCTGCAGCACCCTGGCTTTGCTCAGGTGAAAAATGTCAAGGGACTCAGTGTCATTTTAGCATGACAGTCTGGGTGCTGCAACGTTCTTCCCAGATGCTGGAAAACTGGAGATTCTTTTGATGCTGTACAGATATTGAAATCCCTGTTTGCTTTTCCCATGGCATTGACTTAAGAATAAATGAGGAGCCACATAATGTTGCAGGTAATGGGAGCTAGGAAAAAAAAGGTGGTATTTTTTACGAGTTTAAATTGGATCATATGGAGGAAAAGGGTAAAAATCTGGAAATGTCCCTGTGCCAGGGTTCTGATCTCATCTGCTTGGGAAAGTGAAGGCTTTTAAAGATGACACCATGCTGAGTTTCTCCCACCCTGCAGTGCCCTCAAGTTTCCAAATGAATTTAGTCCCTGAAAGCTGTGAGGTTTTTCCCAGGGAAGTTGTGTTAAGCTCTGTAGAGCATGGACTGCCCATGCACTTTGGGTTAGTCCAGGACCTGTCACATTTGGCCTTGCACATCAGGACCACAGTAAGCAAGGAGATCTCATCTGATGCTGTGGTGGAAGCAGGAAAAATTACGCCCCAACGAAGAGCTCTGTGGTTACAGGAAATGAGCCACCAGCATTTTCTCTCTTCCAAATCATGACAACCATATTTTCTATGGGTTAAAAGTGCCAGCAGTATGATACATGAATATTCATATCACATCTTCTTAATTGTGTTATTTTTGGCAATCATAAAGTCTTGTGGATGTGACCCAGAGCATTTTTCTGTAGCCTGTCAGTCCTGGGCAGCCATTCCCATTGACTTCTGACACCTTTCATGTGTCAGCTTCTCCAGGCTGGGCACATCCTGCATCTGTCCCCATGGGTTGTGCAGGGTGGCTGTGCTGATGGACACCCTGTCCCTTCCAGAGCCAGCTGAGTGGAGCTGGTGCACAGGACAGGGATTCTGTGCTGGCTGTCACATTCTCAGGGGTTTCACAGAAATGGAAGAAGGGATCTGCAGCGTGGTTCCCTGGGGCTGTGGTGTTCTGTGTGATACCATCTGCAAGGTGCTGGGTTTTCCCTGCTGATTCTTGTGGCATATGAGGTTGTGGGGTTGAAATTTTATTGCATGTATGAAATAAGATGGATCTTCCAGGGCTTTCCTGTGAAAGGGATCAGGACTGTCAGGTTAAAGGTTGAAGTGCATGAGCAGCAGCAGAGGAAGAAGGGATATGTGGCTGTTCCTGTTCTTTCAAGGCCTTTCACAGGGGACAAGTGTCCAGCAGAGCTGCTTACGATCTGGCTCTGGTCCTGAGCTGCTGGTAGAAGTGATCAATTCAGGTGAATTTTGTAAATGCTGGCACTATTTTGTGTTTCACCTGCTGTGATGGGTTGACCTCAGGGAGAAACCAGAACTCCTCTGAGCTGTTCTTTCTCTCTCACCCACAGGAAGGGCAGGGGTTAAAAAAAAATATGCAAAAATGTATGGTTCAATATAAAGGGAGGGAGATCACTCACCAGTTACTGTCATGGACAACAGGTGTGTGAAATCAGGACAATGAATTTATTTTATTAAAATATAGAAAACAGAACTGGAAAAGGAGAAAGAAATAGAAAACTTGATCTCACTGCCTCCACACCCCTTTCATCCCAGGCTCAACTTCACTCCTCCATCCCCAGCTCCTCCACCTCCTCCCCCACAGCAGCACAGGGGCAAGTCAAATAGGGGCTGCAGTCAGCTCTTAACAAGTTGTCTCCTCCACTCCTGACTCCTCAAGAGCTGTTTCCCTGATCGAGAGCAAAGCCTGTTAGCTGGGTGTTTCACTGAGGCAGAGTGC